GCCTCACAGGAGAAACAGGAGTTCTCAACATTACGACTGACGACCTCGACGCATGGAGCACCTATCACTGAGGGGTTCAGCCATCACCTCAAGTCCCCCAGCAGCCCCAAGGGGGTGCCATCCTGCCTGTGAGAATGCAGACACGGAGGCTCTGGGATGCTGGGGGCCCGGCCCTGGACAATCAGGGAGGCAGCAGGGATTTGTGCCTCCAACCTGGTCTGGTGCGAGGCCTGCACTTTCTACGGGAACCAAGTGCTTCCTAGTCACGGGGCTCCCAAACCAGGCTCGAAGCCCGTGGTGGGGAACGTGGGGCCCAGAGTGACAGCCACGGCCCTGGGCCAGGGAGAGCCCCCTCGGCCACACTCTGCAGAGGCCAGAGCAGCAGGCCCCTGCCAGCGGCCAGGGCAGACTCCGCCTTCCACCTCAGTCCTTGCAGCTGGCCTGGCCGCCCGGAGTCCCAGAGACATTCCAACTCTGTCATTCTGGAAAGTCCCAGCTTGGAGGCCGGCAGCCGACTCTAGGACAAGAAGGGAACAGCCCAACAAGCTGCCATCTACACCTTCCTCCTGGGTTGAGGCTGAGTCCAGAACACACGGTCATACTGCAGAGAGGGGTCCACTTGGAAGGGTCAGAAGAGGACATCAAGAAACCAAGTCTCACTGCAAATAAACTGTGCTCCAACAATTTTTTTTTTAATTTGCAAAAAAAACACACTGTCAGTGCCTTGGGCCAGCTGAGCCTGGATTTGAACCCCAGACCAGCCCCATGCTATCTGTGTGAGCCTGGAGGTTGGAAAGTTCTTCAATCTCCTGTGCCAGGCTGTGAACATTCACACACACACACAGAGCCATCAAGTCAAACGCCCCCAAAACTACCTCCCATTCCTCCTCTGCTCCTTCATCCTCAAGGAATTACACTGTGCCCAGCAGAATGGGTCTGGCATGCTCAGCGGCCAGGGCAGCTGGGGGTCCACCAGAACCTGCCGCTGCCTTTAACACCCCGCCGCGGTGAGATGCCAGGGAAGAGCTGCACTCCCAGCAGACTCCGCTGAACAGAGTGAGCCGCCCGCTGGGTTCCCACTCACCAGCTCAGCTCTTAATGGCCCCCGAGAGACAGGAGAGGGTGGGATGGGGAGGGGGCTGCACCACACCGCACCCCACGGCACTGCTTGCTGCGCAGTCCTGGGATTGCCTGAGCTCATCTCCAGTTGGAAAACAGTCACATGCGCCAATGTGCAAACCCAGACCACCTTCTGCAAGTGTCGCACACTGTCAGGGATGCAATCACAGCGATCTGGGGAATCCTAGGTGGGCAAGGTCATCAGGTCCATACCCCGTTTCGACAAGAACCTAACCCCAAGCGGTCCACATGGGCCCCACACCCTGCTTCTCATTTCGGTTTTACAGCCTCCCTGACTGGAGCCGAAGGGAATCTGCTCTCCCAGCATTCACGTGTGTGTGCCCTTCCCTCTCAAAGAGTGTTCTTTTTTTTATTGCTCCTAAATCTTTCCTGGAGTAGCTAAAGCTTCCCTCTTAGTCCCAAGTAATGGAGGGAAGGGAAAACTAAAAATAGAAGGAAATTTACATGTGCAGAACACCTGTTAAGTTTTACCACATTCTTATTTAATCCTCCCAAGAACCCTGCGAGGTGGTGAGGCTGTTTTTGGTAGAAGATAAAGGCTCGGAGAAGCCCAGGTTTGCATGGGATAAAGACTTTCTTTCCCAGCCTTCGCTGAAGCTAGATGTGGTCCTGAAACTGGTTAGCGGGAGTACAGGGCTAGGTGTCTATCTGCAACATCGAGGAAGGGTCCCTAAGGCGGAGAAACTGTGTCCTCCTTTGTCCTTCTCCCTTCTGCCAGCTGGAGCCCCAGGCCTTGGAACACGAGTATCTTGGAGGATGAAATGACTACACTGCAGAAACAGAGGAAGACAGATCCCGACACAGCGGGGCGCCACGCCAGGACAGATCCACCTCTAAACTATTTGAACTTAAGGGTGAATCAACTTCTGTGTTGCTTAAGCCTCTTACTGGGGGTTTTTCTGCATTAATCGTAAATGGACACAAGGACCTATGTATGAGGTAATCTTTGGCAGACCTTATCAACAGATTGTCTACTGCTTCAGCCTTTAAAGGGTTAAAGGGAACTTCTAGTATCACTGACCGCCCTCTTCAACAAGAGCAGCTCTGTTTTTAAAGACGCTTTTTCTAAGGAGGAAGAACGAGAATCTTCACATTACCCTCAACTTCCCCTCCAACGGCAACCAGAGCTTCACAGAGGAATTTAGGAAACGTCATATAAGTTCTTACGGTAGGAAGTAAGACATAATGGAAAAAAAAAAATCACTGTAAAAAAAAAACGTAGAAAAAAACAAAACGAGATCAGGAAGGCCTATTCACACTTGCAGCACTCTGAGCTTCCTAGCAGACAAAGCAAAAAGGGAAACACTCGACATGGTGACTATTGCTCAATAACCACTCTCAGGCCTGAAGGGCGTTTCTCCATGGAGCTTGTGCGGGGCGGGGGCCAGTGCAATGTGCAATAATGAGTCCTGCAGTATAAAGTATTCAATCCTCCAGCCACCCTTGGTATTACTGTGAATTGTCATCCACATTTTACAGCTAAAGAAATCAAGGCAGAGTTAATAACTCTGTCCAAGGTTACTCATCTAGGAAATGTCAGAGCCAAGATTCCAATCCAGGAAATGAAGCATCATAATCCAGGCTTTTAACCAAGGGGTTTGAGGTTAGCCTCACCCGGGTTCAAATCTCACTCACTACTTGCTACTGAGACCTGGGTGAGTAACTGCACCTCCCTGAGCTTCTGTTTCCTCACCCACCAGTGGAAATAATCCCAGAAACCGGAAAGAAAGTGGCAAGAAGAGAACGTGAGGGGCCTTCTCCTGGTGCCTGGGATTACACCGAAACCAAAACGAGAGACAAGGACGACCAAGTACCCTAAGAGCCAACAGACAGCTGACAAGTAACTGCTAGAACCTGGGCCAGACGACCCCTTCCTGTCCCGCCAGGGCTTGCCAGGAGGCAGGACAGCCAGCCCCAAACACCAACGCTCCTGACATGCTGTGTCCAGAAGGGCAGCCTTACAGACAGCAGCGTGCTGGCCGTGGAGAGGTGACAGGCAAGGAGATGACAGTCGCCGAGCAGCGGGTGTCAGGGGGTGCTGTCAGAGGGCGGAGCCCGCCAGAGGGCACAGAACCCAGCCGGCAGGACAGGCGGCCCCGCCCACTGCAGCCGGTGGTCCAGCAGAGAGCAGGCCCTTCCTCCCCCACCTCCTGGAGAAAGCCGCGAAGTCTGTGGTGGGAGTGGAATAGCCTGAGATGAGGCACAAGACCCACAGCTCTGAAACAGACTGGACTACAATTTAATAACTAGAAGGGACAGAAAAGAGCGAAACTTAGCTGAGGACATTAAGGCCCAGGAAGAGAACACAAAGGAATTTCACTAAGGGTGGGAAAATTCAAACCCACCTTCACCCACAAAGCACGAACACTCCTCGGTTAACTGGCTATGTGAATAAACGAGCAGGAGGGTGGACACTGCTCAACAGAAGCCCCCGTGAACTCTGGGATGAGACGGGAGCCACTGTCCCCAGTGTCAACACACAGGTGGTGGTGGGATGAGCAGGGCCCTGCAGGAAGGACAGGGCAGGTAAAGCAGGAGCCCGGTGGAGACGGATGAGTGAGACTCCCCTCACCCACCTGAGGCCGGAAAGGAACAGAAAACAAATGCAGCCCTCCCACCCGGCCTCCATGGAGGCCACATCTGATGATGAGACACGCGGGGCTGGACTTCCCTGGTGGTCCAGGGGTTAAGACTCCACTTCCAAGTGCAGGGGACACGGGTTCCACCCCTGGTCCAGGAGGATCCTACACGCCTCGGAGCAACTAAGCCCGTGCCCCAAGCTCCTGAAGCCCAGGCGCCTAGAGCCCGCGCCCCTCAACAAGAGAAGCCACTGATGAGAGGACCTGCACACAGCAGCCCCTGCTCGCTGCAACCAGAGGAAGCCAACTGCAGCAATAAGGACCCAGCACCGTCAAAGGCAGACTTTTCTGAAAATGCATAAAAAATTTTAAAAAGAAAGATGAGGCTTTTTCTTGGGTCTGATGCAACCAGAAAACGCGTCCAGATATCTGAAAGCAAAGTCACAGGATCACATCACTTTCAAACAGCTCTTATAAATGGTGGTGGGGGGGGGGGTTCCACATTTGATCAAACCAGTCACAGCCCCGTGCAACCCTACTCTGTGCTTCAGTTTCCAATCTGTCACATCCTCTAGGAAGAGCTGGGCTTCCCTTGTGGCTCAGCTGGTAAAGAAACCGCCTGCAACGTGGGAGACCTGGGCTCGACCCCTGGATTGGGAAGATTCCCTGGAGAAGGGAAAGGCTACCCACTCCAGTATTCTGGCCTGGAGAATTCCATGGACTGTATAGTCCATGGGGTCGCAGAGTCGGACACGACTGAGCAGCTTTCACTTTCACTGGAAGAGTTAAAATGCATCTCCTAGGAAGGAGAGACCTGGAGTGATAGGGTTCAGGTAGCTGGCCCTGGGCAGGGACACGTGCCCACAGTGGGCACCGTAAGTGTGTGGCTGCCCCTTCATCGAGGTCAGACCGAGGCGCTGTCCTCAGTCGACTGAGCTGCTCTGATGTGGAGAAGTGGGGTCCCGAGGCGTAGGGCCTGGCTGCAGCCCAGCCACGGAGGGGCAGGGTTCCAACCCAAGGCAGCCGCGAGTCACGAACCTCACAGATGGCAGCGAGAAGGGGGCTGCGAACACGCCTCCCGTCTCCAGCTCGGAAGAACCAGCTTGGGGACAAGCTCGTATTTTTCTCTCCCTCTCTTCCTGTGTGATGTGTTTCTGACAGTAATCAGAGATCCATCCCCCTGGGAGCCAACAATAATGATTAATGGTGTTAAATATAGCCAGAGACTGCCGGGGCAAAATTAGGCGCCATGCATAAAACATCACCCTCCTCGTCAAGCAGGCAAATCAGCCGGGCTCCGGGGCCTGGTGCCCGCGAATCAGCGCCCTCCACCGGGCGCCCGATCCAGCCGGCTTCCTCGTCACCTGCCCACAGGGAGGTGTCTGCCAGAGTGCCTGCCTTTCAGTCTGAGCCCGTCTGTGCCCCCGACGGACCTCAGGGACTCCACAGCCCGAGGTGACCGTGAATAAAGAACTGCTGGGAATCTGAGATGAACACATACATGCTACTATACAGATACAAAACAGGCACCCAACAAGGTTCCTGTGTAGCGCAGGGACCTGTCCTCAGTATTTTCTAATAACCGAGAAGGAAAGGGGGGCTCCCCTGGCGGCTCAGCTGGTAAAGAACCCGCCTGCAGTGCAGGAGACCCGCGTTTGATCCCTGGGTCGGGAAGATCCCCTGGAGAACGGAATGGCAACCCGCTCCAGTATTCCTGCCTGGAGAATCCCAGGGACAGAGGAACAGTCCATGAGGTCACAAAGAGTGGGACATGACTTAGCAATTAAACCACCACCACCACATAAGGGAAAAGGATCGGAAAAATAATAGATATTCGGACACATATACCTGAATCAGCCTGCTATACACCTGAAACTAACACAACACAGTAAGTCGACTGTGTGTTGTATACTAAGTCGCTTCAGTCAGGTGTGACTCTCTGCAATCCTAGGCACTGTGACCCGCCAGCCTCCTCTGTCCATGGGATTCTCTAGGCAAGAACACTGCAGGGGGCTGTTGTGCCCTCCTCCAGGGGATCTTCCCGACCCAGGGACCAAAGCCACGTCTCTACGCCTCCTGCGCTGGCAGGCAGGTTCTTTACCACCAGGACCACGTGGGAAGCCCCAAGTCAACCATACACCAATTGTTATAACAAGGGACTGCTGTGAAGAGTAGAAAGAGGATGCTTTCTCTAGTAAAGGAGCTCTTTACCAGGAAAAGGATGCCTGGGCCCCACACGGAGCTGAGTTCAAACCCCAGCTCTCCCACTTCCCAGCTGCGTGGCCACGGGCAGGGCACTTCCCAGCTCCGAGCCTCAGTCCACCCTTCTGCGGACAGGCCGCTCAGAGCCGACAGCGAGGGTCAGATGCTCAGACACAAAGGCGAGCCCCCGCCTCCTGCTCCTGTCGCCCCATGGCTGTGAGACCCAGAGCGGGCTGCTCGCCCTCTGAGGCCAAGTTCCTCACCTACAGGATGGGGGCGGCAACGTCGACCTTCCGGGGGCAGGGAGAATGCCGCTGTCGCTGCTGCCCAGCCACTCAGCCGCAGCCGGCTCTTTGCAACCCCGTGGACTGCAGGACGCCAGGCTTCCCTTCCTTCGCTCACTCCCGGAGTCTGCGCCTGCGTCTGGATACATCCTCCACCACGCTGCAGACGGCAGCGAGACCCACCTGCGCGACCCCCAGCACTCAGACACTGATTTTCGCTCTCAGGGCCCCTCCTGACAGTCTAGTGGGGACACAGGCAAGAAGTTAAACAGACCAAGTAATGACAAATTATAAAAGATTTTCTGAAGAAAAAGAAAACAGAAGCTAAAATAAACTCTAAGAGGGACTGGAAGGGGGCTGCTCCGAGGAGGTGACAGATGAGAAGCGGCAGCCTTCCAGGGGCGTGGGAGGAGTTGTTTCCTTCTCGCAATCACTCCCCATCTCCCCAACCACGCCAACAGCCCTCCCATCTGTGTCGGGGGTCCTCTCATTCCTGGGGCTGCTGGGGGTGGCCAGAGTCACTCATCCCACGAAGATCAACGTGCTCCAAAGTCGTGACTGTGCATCACATCCCCGTGTGCATGTGTATCATTACAGCCATGCACTGCCTTAATTTTATGTACATCATTAAACACACACAGAAATACACCTTTAGAGGAGGAAGGAGGATATAAATAGAACTGAGCTTCTAATTCTGCCTCCCACTCTCCGTGGTTCCTTTCACACCCTCCTGGGCATCCACAGAGCCCACTTGGCGACCATGCTCAGGAGCCCTGAGATGCCCGAGGCCAGCCAGGAGGCCAGCTGGCAAGCACCTGCTCCTGCAACAGACGCAGCAGACAGGAGTCACGTTTGCTCAACTCTCTCCCCACGTTCCCCGACACTGGGCATCAGCTCTGGGCCTCCTTCTGTTCTGCACTTGACCTTCTGAGGCCTGGTCCTGGGCACCCTTCTCCAGCTTCCTAGCCTCCCCTGCACCCCACTCTTCCCACCAGTCAGGGCCCCTCAGGGAGCACAAGCCCTGCCGCACCCTCCCACTGCCCCCCAGGACCTGCACCCCCCGTTCCTCACCTGGCCAACTCAGCCATCATCCCCAAAGCATCAGCCAAGGCAACCCCACGACATCCAACACAGAGAAAATGATACTCGTGCGGGGTCCGTGGATGCGGCTGCCCACGGCGGGCAGCGACCTTCCTGGGGGCTTGGGCCCCTCCAGGCCCCGCCTGTCTGCTCTGAGGGCTGAGGGCACTGGGCCTTGGCAGCCCCGCACCCTGAGGCCTCACTGGAGGCTCTGAGCGGAGGGAGCAGCCTGAGCCCCTGACCTGTGTTCCGCTCTGTAATTCCCCGGGGACACCGAGCTCCCTCAGGGTGGGGACGCCTCTTCTCTACCCCCGGTCTCCCCCTGGCTTGGGTCGTACCCTTGACAAATGCTTCTTAGACTTTACTGTGACGTGAAAAGAAAGCAAACAAGGGCGGGTGAGGAAGCCTTCTTAACCAAAGAAGACCGTGGAGACCCAGAAACCCCAGACAAAAAGACAAATATTCCTGGGACCTCACTGGTGGGCCAGTGGTTAAGACTGCACCTTCCAATGCAGGGGGTACAGGTTCAACCCTGTTCAGGGAGCTAACTTCCCACATGCCTTGCACCCAAAAAAAACCAACATAAAACAGAAATAATACTGTGATAAATTCAATAAAGACTTTAAGAAGGGCCCACACTGAAAATCTTAAGAAAATTATTTTAAAAAAGAAAAGCATTCCTAACTACATGATAACTCTAAACTTTTGTATGGCAAAAGAAACCACAGAGTTAACTTTAGAAAATGCAGCCTCTCTTGCAAAAGAAGTGCTCCGCAGAGGCCAGCAGAGGGTTAATATCGACACGACACAGAGAGCTGACAAGTCGGCACGACAGGGACCAATGACCCTTCGGACAAATGAGCAAAGGATTCACACGGGCAATTCACAGGTGGTTGCATCCAAACGGCCAAACAGATGAAAAGCAGCTCAGATCCACTGCTCCTGGGGGAGATGCAGATTGAAAGTAATGATGAGCTGTCACTTCATAACTCTCAACCTGGGCAAAAATAACAAGACCAATAACAAGTCTTACTGGTGGGATTCAGGGAAAAGATGAGTTTCCAATTACTGGGGTGAAAGTGCTACAGCCCCTGGAGAAATCAAGCTGGCAACAGCTACTGAAACTAAAAGTACACAAACCTTGTGACCTGCTGACTCAACTCCTGGAATCAGGCCCCAGAGAAATAAAACCAAAGGATGTGCGTGTGGGTGGATGTTTATCTTCACGCTACTTATTATAATAACAAACAGGAAATGATGGCAATTGATGGGGGAGCAGCCAATGAGATTACAGGACATCCAGGCTCCGGAATACTATCCGCCTGCTAAAAAGAATGAACTACAACTGTAGCTCTTGGTACCGAAGGCTTTCCACAAAGTACTTTTGAAAGAGTGATGATCTAGGAATGTGAAAACATTTAAGACGTTTATATATGATTTTGAGATGATGGGAACATATGAAAGGATCTACATGAGAGCACTAGCATGGTTTCAGAGTGGGAATCAGGGAGGTTTATGTCACTGGTTAGCATCGGTTGCTCAGTCGTGTCCGACTCTTTGTGACCCCATGGACTGTAGCCCACCAGGCTCCTCTGTCCATGGGATTCTCCAGGCAAGAATACTGGAGCAGGAAGTCGTTCCCTTCTTGAGGTCACTGGTTAGGGCAATAAACAAAAGATTTGGGATAAACAAAAGAAAGGAAAATTACATCAAAATGTATAATGCAATATTTATGCATTTATATAAAACTGCCTATGAAAAGAATTTACTTCTGTGTGCAAAGAAATCTCATGTTTGTTCCCCTCCCTCCTTCATTCCTCTTGACTTCATGCTTGCTTTCATCCCCTACTTTCTTCACTCTTTCTCTCGGGTCATACAATTCAGACAAGAAAAGCAAAAAGATTCCAAAGAAGAAGTAACACCTTATTGATCTGGCCCCCTTAACTCTCCAGAACACAGGTTGGAACTACAAAGCAAAAAGAGATCTATCAGCCAAAAAGGATTATATGTTCTTTACCCAGGAAAGTGCTTTGAGCTAATTACTCTTATTTCATACAATTTTAATAAGCCTATCAAACCCACTGTGGCAGACAAGCCTGAACGTGACCCCAGGGATCCACTCCAGGGCATAATCCGCTCCCCTGGCAGGCAGGCTTCCTTCTAACCAACAGACAAAGCTAAACCAACAAACCAAAGTCACAAAGCTGGTGTGACAGCACACCCAGGACTGTCTCACACCTAGGTGTGTCTCAGACACACTGCTCTGTCTCAGCAGGCTAAGAGAGGGATGCCCCCCGCTGGCCTGGGAGAAGCGAAGTGCCTGGTTGTAAGCTGCCTGTGGAGAGGCCACAGGCCCAGGTCTGTGGGGAGCCTGAGGGGCAGCCCCAGCCAGCAGCCAGGAAAGAACTTACATCCTTGGTCATCCAACCACAGGGGACTGCATTCTGCCAAAAACCCAAACTAGTTTTGAAAAGATTGTTCCCTGATCAAGCCTTCAAATGAGAACACAGCCCAGTCCACCTCACTGCAGCCTCATCAGACCTTGAGCAGAAGGCCCAGCTAACCATGCCTGGGCTCCTGGCCACAGAAACCATGAAACAGTAACTGTGTGTCGTTTCCCACTGCTAAATCTTGTCGTCTGTCAATGATGGAGCCCGTGCGCCACAACTCCTGAGTCTGTGCCCTGGAGCCCGGACGCTGCAGCCGCGGAGTCCACGCGCCCGGAACTGGTGCTCGGCGACGGAAGGCGCCGCGAGAAGAGCGCGCACCGCGCCGAGGGAGGAGCCCACGGAGCGAGATCAGAGAAAGGCCGAGCAGCAAGGAAGACTCAGCACGGCAAAAGTCAGTCAATACATAAAGTCCAAGCCTTAAAAAAGCAAGACTCGACAG